GTGCTCCGCAACGGGAGAGGCCACAACAGTGAGAGGCCCGCGTACCAAAAAGAAAAAAAAAAAAAAAAAAAAAGTGTCTTGGCCCTACCTCTTCATTGAGCTGCTGTGTGTTTCCCTCCTCCTTTTAACAGCCAAACTGTGTTGAGTCCACTTCTTTACCATCCACTCACTCCTGGGGTCCGCATCCACCAGCCTGCACCGTGACTGTTCTGGCCAAGGTCAGAGGCATTCTCATTGCTACATCCAGTAACCACTTCCCAGTCCTTTCCTCACTTGAGTTCTTGGCGGCATTTGACACTGTCCATCACTCCTCCTTGGAACATCCTCTTCTCTTGACTTGGCTCAGTGGCTCCCTGGGTTTCCCCCTCCTTGTGTCACCACTTTTCCTCCTCCTCCTTAGTGCAGTTGTGCCCCGCTGCCTGTCCCCTTGAATGCTGACATTCCTCAGTGCCCCGTCCTAGGCTCTGTTTTCCTATTCTACATACTCTACCTGGGCAATTTCATCACTTCCGAGGTGCCGGGGACTAGGCAAAGATGCTGATGACTTTCATATCGATTTCTCCAACCTACATCTCTCCCTTGGGACACCACAGTGCTAAGCCTAATTCTCAGCCTCAGCTCTTGAGGCTCAGGAACTTGGTTGACCAGCACACGCAGAGCGGCGGCACATTTTCTCTTGGGGAAAACTAAGTTATAATTGTCACACTGCCTGACAGCCCTAGGCAGTGAGAGAAGCGTTGAGTCAAAGCACAGGCTTGTTACTAGCTGCCTGCTCTTAGGTAGATAACCTACCCTCTCTAAGCCCCAATTTCCTAATCTGCAATGTTGGGGAAATAATAGTACCTTCCTCCTAGGCTTACTGTGAAGGTTAAATGTGATAAAGCAAATAGAGCACTTATGATGCTTACCAGCTCATACCCAGCCCTCAATAAGTATAAGTTATTATTATTTCTCTCCTACCAAATTCTGCTTCATCGTAATAATATTTTTATTAAAACTATTGCAAAAATACATACATCTGTCTACAGATACATACATACATGTGCCTACAGCACACACGTGCGTGCGCACACACACACACTGAACATTATTCAATCATAATACCTAATAAATTGCAAAGGAAAGTGTCTCATACCACATCAAAGTCTTTAGATAAAGGAAAATACCTAATAATCTGTGCTTTAAAATGCTGCATTTATGCCATGCTCTTGAAGTAGCTGGGTTCAGTTCTTGGTAGCAGAACCAACCCAACCAGGGGAGGGAGAGAGTCTAGCCCTTAACAGTGTACACAGTGCTTTTAAGTGCCTGACAGGCTCTTTTAATCCACTCTGCAGTACTGTGAGGTGACATTATTACCCCAACTTTGCAGGTGTAGAAACTGAGGGCTGTAACCTTCTGACCAGATGTCCTCTGATTTCCAAATGCTTTTGCTACGTGACGCCAGGGAGAATTAGGCCCCATTTCATTGTACCTAGTTTAGTAACTAAAATAGATGATTAGCTCTAATATCAAGAACAATTTTGTTAATCATTCAACAGTTGTTAAGCAATCCTTGGGTGTGGTGAGAGAGGAAAAGGCTAAAGAAAAATAGATCTTTGCCCTTTTAAGAGCTTCGTCTGTAATAAAGGGACATACCTATGAGCAGCAAAAATACTCAGGGACTCTTACAAAGCAACATAGTTTCCCATGAATTGTAAGCTGCATGCTACTTCATATTTTAATATCTCTGGATGCTGTAAAATCAATTGCACATCACAGTTTACTTGTTAGCAGTTGTTTGCTATCTTAATAGCACATAAAATAACATGCCTCTTATAATCAATAGCCTCTTATATAAGAGCCAAGAAAATATAAAATAATTAAATGGCCATTTCTTTAACAGCAATCAACAAATATTTGCCAAAAAGTAAATCGTTTTATCCGTAGGTAATAAAGTTAATATCTGTTACCACAAAACTGGAGGTCATCAGTATCACCATTATTGATTCCTACTGTCTGGCTCAGGTTCAAGGTCTTCTTTCCCAAGAGGCAGGCACAGCAAGAGGCTCCTCAGCGTTGGGTCAGAGCAGCCTGCACAAATTAGGCTAACAATTAGTTTAACAAATTCAGATGACAGTGTAACCAGTGGGGAAATGTGCAAAAAGAACCCTCATGTGGACAGAACATTTGAATAAACAAAATGGTACAATGAGTTCAGACAGAAAGAGCGCATTGTTCCTGGAAACACAGTGAAAGTTGTATTTTCAGAGAAGTCGAATTTCAAGGGGTGACTTAGAAGGGGAGGACGTCCTGATGGAGGCGGCATCGTGGCAGAATTCAGAGGGTGTATGGAGATCTGTAAAAGTCTGGGTGACAGGGGGGCCACAGCTGAACCACAGTCACAGACTCAAATCCTGACCAAACCTCACACTGGTTTTTGACCTTGGGAAAGTCACTTTATTCTTTTAAAGTCACTTTACAGGGAAAGTCATAATTATGTTGAGTTTCGGTTCCTCCTTTGTAAAATGACTATAAAATACTTACTTTTGTGCTGTGAGGAGGAGAGGGAATATTTGTAAAGTATTTGGCAGGGAGAGCAGAGAATAAATGGTAATAAAATTGGTTAGAAGGTTTTGAACAGAAGAAGTGAATGAGCAAAGCTATGATTTGGGAAATTAACGTAGAATCTGTGATTAAAACGGGCTGGAGAAAGTGCTAAGTAGAAAACTAGTTAAGATGCTTTTTCAATCGTCTGGATGAGAGGTGGCAGGGACGGAGGGCAAAATAGGACATCTGTCGGTGGAGATGCAGCAGCCAGGGGTCCCTAAGGGCGGCGGCTACAAAGCCTGTGAACCTGATATAACACCTGCCTGGGGACAGGGCCTGAGGGTGGAGGCCCGGCAAAGCACGCGAGGAATCCGAAAGTTCTGCAGTTTAGCGCCCAGGTACCTGAGAGAGGACACGGCGGGGGACAGTCTGGGAGGGTTGGCAGAGGGGTGTTCACCACCGCTGCCTAAATCCCACACCGGGGCGCATCTGTTTCAGGCCGCCAGGGAAGAGGTCAGAGTCAGTACGGGAGGCAGGGCGAGCAGAGGTCGACCGGCTTTCCCACCGATCCGCGCCCCCGGCGGGCGGCCGCGAGGAGGCAGAGCGCGGCCCCTGCTCCGCCCCTCCCGCCGAGTCCCACCTCCCCGAGTGCGTTCCGAGGGGCGGAGCCCGAGGCGCCCCGCCCACCCACCCCGCGCTCGCCTCGCCCATTCGACACGCTACACCCTCCCCGATCGCCACGCCCATCCGTCACGCCCCGCCCTCCCCCCCACCCACTCCGGGTAGACCAGCTGACGCCAGCCGCAGCGGCCACCCAGCTTCTACCCGTGCATCCAGAGCGCCGCGGCGACACCATGTTGGGCATGATCAAGAACTCGCTGTTTGGGAGCGTAGAGACTTGGCCTTGGCAGATCCTGAGCAAAGGGGGCAAGGTAGGCCCACAGGGCTGCCGGGGACCGGAAGGGCGGCCGCGCCCACCGCACCCTGTTCGCGGCTGGAGCGTGGACAGGTGGGGCAGGAACGTGCCCGGGATTGTGCGTTCTGGCGTCTGCCGTGGCCACGGCCCTCCTCCGATGCCCAGCGCTTGGACTGGGAAGGAGGGGAGTAGGAGGTCGGGTGCAGCGGGGCGAAGGGCTCTGCTGGGAGGAGGGGAGACAGTGAGGCAGGATGGGTTTGACGGAAGAATCCCAGCTTACCGAGATGGACTGCGCCTCTTGAGTGCATTCGTCCATTTAAACATTCCAAACTTTATGAATATTTGTTCGCTGAGAGGCCTTCGGTTGCAGGAAAGACTGGAAAAGTGCTTGTCCTTGAGAAACTCCCAAACTGTCCTTGGTGGAGAACTGAATATAAAAGAACAAGATCTGCTCTGCGAAGGAGATAACTGTTCAAGTCCGGGAGCGCAGGCGAAGGAGCAGTCCGTTCAGCCAAGGGTGATAGTGGGGCCTGCGCAGAGAAGGTGCCGTCAGCTAGGCCTCTGGGATGTGCAGGAATGCACAGAAACAAGAGCCCGTGCAAAGGCCCAGAGCTGTCAAACGGCTTGTTGGCCTATGGGAGTTGGACTCCTAGAATACAGGATGAGTGAGGAGGGCATCATTGCAGTTTTCCCCCAAATTAACATTAGTGCTCACCCAGGCAAATTGGACTGCCCCCTGAAAACAAGAAATCTGCCACTAGATGATAATCTCCTGTGGACAGGTACTTTGCGCACCTCGCGGCTGTATACTCAGCTCCCTGCCCAGTGCTTCATCTGTTAAAGGACCGTGTTGTCTGGGGGGCCAAAGTCAGGTACCCATTACATTGATCATCACACAAAAGCCCTCAACTAGAGTCTGGACTCTTCAAGCAGCTATAGCCGGAGGCCTGTTACTTCATCTGTCTATATCTGTTTCCTTAGCCTTACGCAGAATAAGCACTTTAGCCCTGATCAAAGGTGACCTATTCAGGTGCCTACAAGCAGCCAGGCACATAATGAAAATGATTGACAAACTATAAGGCAGGGTGCGAACTGAGGCAAGTTGGAGACAGAGAACTCAAGCCCCCATCTGCAAAGGGTAATTCCAGGCAGTTGTCATGCAGTGATGTGAACCAGGGTTGCTGGGTTTTTAAGGAAAACCAGCAATCCAGACTCTTCATGTGAAATCTCTAAATTTAAAATTTATTCATTCAACAAATAACTGTTGAGTGGGCCGGGTACTCTTATAGGCAACGGGGATAAAGCAGTGGACAAAACTGGCAAAAATCCCTGTCCTCATGGAACTCCTCTTTTAGTGACTAGTGAGCAAGTAAGTCAAATATTTCATGTATCAGGTGGTGGTCAGTGCTGTGATCAAAAAATAAAGCAGGGGGGGCTTCCCTGGTGGTGCAGTGGTTGAGAGTCCACCTGCCGATGCAGGGGACACGGGTTCGTGCCCTGGTCCGGGAAGATCCCACATGCCGCGGAGCGGCTGGGCCCGTGAGCCTGTGCTCCGCAATGGGAGAGGTCACAACAGTGAGAGGCCCGCGTACCGCAAAAATAAATAAATAAATAAAAATTTTAAAAATTAAAAAATAAAATAAAGCAGGGAAGGGGAGGAGGGACTAGAGGGTGTTAGGGGTGAGGCTACGGTTTTAAGTAGCACAACTGTGTCAGTTTTTTTTTTTTTTTTGCGGTACACAGGCCTCTCACTGCCGTGGCCTCTCGCGTTGCGGAGCACAGGCTCCGGACGCACAGGCTCAGCGGCCATGGCTCACGGGCCCAGCCGCTCCGTGGCATGTGGGATCCTCCCGGACCGGGGCACGAACCCGTGTCCCCTGCATCGGCAGGCGGACCCTCAACCACTGCGCCACCAGGGAAGCCCTGTGTCAGTTTTAACTGTTACAAATGTTTGTAAACCCTGCGGGTCAGGTAGGCAGTAGGATCTGTCTGTGGTGGGATGTCGCCTGTGTGCATACCAGTCTGTGGACACGGCCCGAGGATCTCCAGGGTCCTCGTTGGCCTTGACACTTGAGGAATCCACGTGTTACCCACAGCTTGCAGAGAACTTTCCTTTCTGTAGTAGAATTGGGCTCACTTTGTCTTTGCTGTTAACAGTTATTTGCAGTGCAGGCTGAGGGTCTGGGCTCCCAGTGGGAGGCACTAGAGGGAGATAGGAGGGCTGGAAGAAGGGAGAGGCCAGGGTATTTCTCCCTCGCCTTCTCCTCCCTGTCAGGTCTCTGGAAGCAGGAGCTTCTCTGGGGCTCCAGTTCTTGCTAGCCAGGCCACCATGGTTTTGGTTCTCACCAAGTGATCCAGGTATCTGAACTCAGGTAAAGGATCACCCTCCCTCTACCTCTGTAGGGCGCTTACTAACCTCAGGGTTGCTTCACTGTCCCTGCTGGGCATCTCAGCTCTTTTATGATCTGTGAAATCAGTTCTCTGAATCAAGGTGCCTCTGTTCAGAATACTCCAGTCATTTGGTTTTCTGTTAGCCCCTTATAGTACGGTGTCACCTGCCACTGACTTGGCATCTCCAGGGATAAATGCAGCTCCCCGATCGGCATCTTCCCTCAACATCTGATAAGAATATGGAACCATACGGGATGTTGTTGCCAGGCTGAAGCAGATCGTTTAACCTGAATGAACCTCAGTTCCTGCACCTGTAGAAAGGGTATCAAAATACCTTCCCCATCCACTCCCAGAGTTGCTAGAAATATTAAATTGTTTAAGAAACATGAAAATGATGTGTAAGCTAATACACCCTACAAATGTAGTAATATCGTTATGTCGGAACTCATTTCAGCTCCACTCTTACTAGCTTCGTGGTCACAGCTCACTTAACCTCTCTGATGCTAATCATGAGAGAAAATAATAATCCACGTCTTATAACATTGTTTTGAAATTTAAAGGAGAAAACCAATTACAAATTATTCAACAAAATACCTAGCACTTGATTGTTAACTTGCCCTTAGTTTTCCAGGTAATTTGGGTTAAATTACTTAACCTCTCAACCACTCTGAACCCTGAAATTCCTCAGCTGTTAGATGAGAATGACAGTGCCTTATGTGACAATTAATTAAACAGTTGAAGATTCTTGTAATCTTTTTTTAAAAAATATACAAATTCAGGGTGTTGTTATTGTGAAGAGAGCCTCTTTCTGAAATGGAAAGAGAAAGAGAGCCTCTCTCTCTTCCTGGAAAGAGTCTGGGTCAGAAACCATTGTTCACTTTCCTGGGTGAATGAATATATTACACAGGGTGCCCCACGTAGCTCAAAGTCAAGACTCAACCAGATGTTCAGGGCTGATTCCAGGCACCCGGTGGGGAGGCCCAGGCTGCTGCAGACCTTATCAGGTCCTTCTGCATTTCTTGGGGAGGGAGGAAGATGCACAGCTCTCTGTGTGGGGTTGAGTGGGTCTTGTGGGTACTGAGAGCAGGACTGATATTAGTAGTGGACATCTTTATGGGATTTGTTTCCAGCCTGTGCACATTGATTAGGACCCCACTGCCTGGCTTGGAATCCTTACCCCACCTCTTGCCACTGTATCTTGGGCACGTTACTTAACCTCTTGTTTTCATCCGAAAATGAAGATAAAAACACTTACTTCTTCACAGGGTTGTTTAAAATAATACGTGACACATAGAAAGTACTCAGTTAGGTTGATCATTATTATAATAATTATTGTTGTTTTCTTATAGTGAGAAAGCTGGCTTCCAAAATCAGCATGTATACCAACCACAGCAGGTGGCAAGAGAAAAAAACACCCTCACAGAGGACCTTGCGAGGCATTCTTGCAACATCTCTGTCTGGGACTTGAACTTGACCAGGGTTCCAACTGAATGTTGAAAACTTCTATTTGTGGCCACTGGCTGAAATCCTCATCTAGTTACTGACGTGGGAGCACAAGCTAGCTGAACGTGGGGTGAGGGAAGGCCATTATGCCATTATTTTGTTACACGTAACAAGGAAATGCACTCAAGATGTCAAATTTGAAGAATCACATGTGCTAACAGTGTTAACTTAGGCGCTTTGTTTTCTGCCGAAATAGAGCTCTATTTAAATTCAGCTCCCTGGAAAATCAGAATAGTTGGATAATATCCATCTCTCAAAGCTAAATTTTCATAGTGATGCAGTGGTTCAAATGAGAAGTTACAGACATAGATGCTGTGAAAACAGGCAGTACCTGTTGGAGAACCACCTTCAGACAATGTGGCACAACCTTCCTCCAAGATGGATATATATAGTTAGGCTAGGTTCTCATCTCTCCAGCCAGCTATGGCTACCATATTCCTTTTCATTAGAGTAAAGCCAGGCTTCACTCCACCGCCTCCTTTCCCACAAATCCTTATAGAGGGCCTACTATATATATGTGTAAGACGTGGTCTTAGATGCTGGGAGATACAGCGGTACACAATACAGACAGGCCATGACCCCATGGGGCTTACGATTGCAGTTGGAGATTAAACACACTATTATTCCATTACAATTTCCATTGTAATTATATTCCACTATAATTCCATTGTAATTATAATTACAATATACTATGTTGTGAAAATACAAGGGCCTATAAAAATATCATGGGGAACCTGTTTTAAACTGGGATCCTCTCTGAGGAAGTGACTTTTAGGTTGCGACCTGTTGGGTGAGTGAGGATTCATTGGGCAGAGACAGGAAAGGAATCCCCCAGGCAGAGGAGGAGGCAGGTACAGAGGCCCTGAGGCAGGAATGACCGTGGCATTGAAGCAGATAGCAGAAGGCCAGTGAGGAGGTGCTCTGGGTATGGCCGGCAAAGTAGGAAGAAGCTCAGTGGTGCCTGGACCATCACAGATAAGAACTTGGTGAATGACAGCGTTTAGGCGGGGGATTAATTAACGTGATTAATTTATATAGAATGCTCTGTGTATGTTCCCTGGGCAACACAGCCTCATTCACAGCTTTGGTTGCCCTTTATGCTGATGCATCCTAACTGAGCCAGGCCCCTGCTGAGTCCAGACCCATGTGTCCAACTGTACAACGGACAGTTTGCTCATCTGTAACAGGAGACAGATAAACCAGTGGATTTGTAAGCGCCCTTCCAGCTCTAGTGTCACCTGTCTTTGAAGTTCATGGGAAGGCAAGATCATTCAGGAAGAAGAGGTAGAGTTAAGCTCAGCCTTAAAGGATGGTAGACTTATCATGGGGGCTGGGCTCCCCGAATCAAACTGGATTCCTTTCTCTGCAGCCGTTCCTTTCTGGCCGTGGACTTTTCTGCCTCGGGGAACAAGCTGAGAACATGCTCACTCAAGACTCAGACACACCTGCAAAACCCTATATTTAGATTACAAAAGTAGGTTGAACTAATTTGGGGTAGATGAAACGAACTTGCTGTCAGATCACCATCATTGGACTAATGGTTCCAAAATCCAGCTCCCCGTGAGAGCCTTCAGATGTTCGGAGATCTGGGTCCTGCCAGAGTCTCTGGCCTCCTTTCTTGCCATGCCCTGCTGGGCCATTCTTGCTCCAGTGGCAGTGAATTACTTATATTTTTCACCGTCATCATAAAGTTCTTCAGCTCTTCGCTTTTACCCCTAGGGTGCCCGCTACCTGAAATTGCCCTCCCTAAACTATCAGAGCACTTACTACATCATATAATGATTATGTAATTCTTCTCACCATCCAATGAGACTGCCCGAATCATATTAATCTCCAACTCTGTAGCGCCTGGCAGAGGTTTTCAGTAGATGTTTATTCGATGAATCAATGCATCGGTGACTGAATGTCCAGTTGGATGCTCTGTAAGCACCTCAAATTCAGCTTGGCCTACCCAAACTTGTAAACAGACACCCATGTCCCCCAAACTAACCTAGGTGGTCCTCTCCCATGCTCCCACACTGCCCTGGAGCGCCTCTCCCCTTAAACATATCGTCAGGTTATAACCTGTTTTCCTGGCTACTTCTATTAGACCATGCCTCCAGATGTCAGGGACCATGTCTTTCATCTCTTTAGTTGTTGGTTGAATGAATAAAGGAAGGAAAGAAAACAAAGGAGAGAGCCAGCCAGCTCTTTCTCCGGTGAGAATTGGTCATTGGTTTCTTCATTTGTAAGAGAAGGAGCTGCACTGAATGACTTTTGATGGCCCTGTTCTGAGTGTGATGCGAACCTACAAATGTCTGTCAGAAATAACTACCTCAGTAGCTACAGAAAGAGGTTAAAAAATACCCAATTCATCCCCTGTGGAGCATAGAGCCTTGTGGCAAGCATTAGACCAGAGTTTGGGGATTTGAATTCTGGTTCCAGCTTCACCACTCAGCAGCTGTGTGGTCTTGGGCAACTCAGTCTCTCTGGTTCTTCATTTCCTCTTTGGTAAAATGAGTTTGATTGGGTGAACCTTGAAACCTCTTTCAGGCTGAAATTCTGTGACTCACAGAGTGACATTTCTGGAATTTAAAACATTTTAAGTGGCAAGACTTAGTGGGACCTCCAAAGAAGGCTGGGTCTGGTCTCTGCTATGACAGAAGGAGCCAGAAAGAGCAAGATACCCCGAGTTTACATAACACAGTTTGCTACTGAAGGCTCTTTGGAAGTGGCAGACTCACTAAGGGGAGGGCCTCACAGCAGTCCTCAGAATTAGCAGGCACAGTGCCCCAAAGTCGAGGCCAATTTGTGGCCTCTTGACTCTTGGTCTGGTGCAATTTCCCCTGCCCCATGTGGAGGGAAGTATATGAAATTGGCACTCAGCGTTTATGTTCAGATGTCCCTGACCCTTTCTCACTACTCGCCTTCAATTTTGCATTACAAAAACAATAGGTGTTTTTGCATTCTAGGTATAAGTTTATAATATTAAGTGTACTTTTTCAGACAGTATAGGCCACTCACAGTCCTACCCTCCTCTAGAGATTCATTATATCCCCTTGGAAGTTGAATCTTCAGTCTAAGATGTTGTAGGAAGGCCTGTTTGACCAGCCCAGGGCAGCCAGGTCCTCTATCATGTGTCTATTTTTTACAATCGTTAGTAAGAGAGGCACCTCCTTAATCAATAAATAAATATCTTTTGAGCATCTAACATGTAAAGCTCTGGGATATAGTTTCTGTCCACAAAGACCTAGCAGATTTTTCAAACTGTACTGGTGTTCCGTTACCAGATAGTAAAATTAATATAGATCAAGGTTTTTTTTCTTTTAGTGGACTAGACTAAAATTCACTTGAGTAGAGCAGAATAGAAATAAACAGGATAGAAAGAAAAGGCATGTCGCTATGGAGAACAGTATGGAGGTTCCTTTAAAAACTAAAGATAGAGCTACTCTGTGATCCTGAAATCCTACTGCTGGGCATATATCCAGAAAAAAACATAATTCGAAAAGATACATGCACCCCAATGTTCACTGCAGCACTATTTACAATAGCCGAGACATGGAAGCAACCTAAATGTCCATCGACAGCTGAATGGATAAATGAGGTGTAGTGTCTATACACAATGGAACATTACTCAGCCATAAAAAAGAATGAAACAATGCCATTTACAGCAACGTGAATGGACCTAGAGATTATCATACTAAGTGAAGTAAGTCAGACAAAGATATACATCATATGATATCGCTTATATGTGGAATCTTTAAAAAAATGATACAAATGAACTTATATACGAAACAGAAATAGATCCATGGGCATGGAAAACAAACTTATGATTACCAAAGGGTAAGGTGGGGGGAGGGATAAATTAGGAGTCTGGGATTAACATATACACACTACTATATGTATTAAATAGATAACCAACAAGGACCTACTATATAGCACAGGGAACTATACCCAATATTTTGTAATAACTTATAAGGGAACAGAATCTGAAAAAGAATATATATATATCTCTCTCTCTCTATATATATATATCTGAACCACTTTGTTGTACTAACACAACATTGTAAATCAACTATACTTCAATTTAAAAGAAAAGACATGTATAATCATGCATCCGGTCCATACAGGTAAAGTGTTATTTTGTGAAACTTTGCTTCAAACGTGTATGTTCATGATAGGGTGTGGTGTAAAAATGTATTTCTTGTTATGGATTGTGGTTTTTTTTTAAAGTTTGAAAGTGCTGCCTTACAGTATGTTCAGGAATACAAAATTTTTTCATATGAGACATCAAATGGTGAAGAAGAGGAAGAGGGGTGAAAGAGAGCTGTGTGGGTCTATAGGGAAAGGGTAATGACCTTAGGGCAGAGACTCAACACAGAGAGGGGATCACTGCCAAGGAGGAAGGGTTTGGGGGGGAAGTGACAGTGCAGCTGGTCATTGAGAGGCAGATTGGGAAGAGGAATTGCATCTGGGAGTACAGTGTGAAAAGAACTACTCTGATTCTTCTTGAATTGCAGCCCTTCTACTAGATTGAGGCTAATCTTGGGGCCACAGAGTTTTGTGGGATGGTTGCTGTATTTCTTTGTTTCCTCCTTCGCAATTTTCTCTTCTCTTTTCCTGGGTCTCCTGTTATTCAGAGGTTGGATCTCTTGGCTTGATCCTTTGATTTTCTTTTCTATTTTCTACTTCTTTGCCTTTTTACTTGACTTTCTAGAATATTTCCTTCAATTTTCTCTTCCAGCCTTTCCACTGAATTTTTCCTGTTATATTTTTAATTTCCCAGAGCTCTTTGATCTCAGAACAGTCTATTTTTATAGCATACTGGGGATGTTCTCGGTGGTTTGGGTTGTAATATCTTCTATTATTTCTCTGTGAATATTGATTATATGAAGTTTTTTCTGCTGTCTCTACATCTGTAAGAAATCTCAGAATCTGTTTGTCGTGGCCCTTCATTCTCTGGCCTGTCTCTTCCCTGTCACCATCGTTGGGCTCTTTATGGAAGGTTCCTTAGCAGTGTGTGCCTCTGGTAACTGGACTTTCACTGTTTCTAGAGTCATCACAGGTTGCTACTTTCTATCTCTTAAGTGCTGCATATTCTCTGCCTCTAGGGAGAGGTCTCCTATGAGGAGAGGGCCTGTGAAGGTGGGAAGTTTGCCACAGTGGAAGTGACTGATAAGCCTGTGGATGAGGCTCTACGGGAAGCAATGCCCAAAGTCGTGAAGTATGTGGGAGGCTCCAATGACAAGGGTGAGTATCCCTGAAGGATTGGTTCTGGTCTCATAGGCCAGGGCTGCATAGTCTCACGTCATCAATGGAAAACACAGGGAGGGACCACAAGGCACCTGTCACTACCTGTTTCAGTGGCACGTGAACTTGCTGTGCTCCGTGGGCAGGGAGGCTCTGAGGAGACCCACTGACTTCATGCCAGTCTCCCCCGACTTTGTGGGATCCCCGCTCGGTAGCACTGAGTTCATGCTTCTCTTCCAGGTGTGGAGACACAACGCTGATTGTTTGTTTCTTTGTTATTTTTTAACCCTACAGTGCTTATCATGTCTTTGGGTTAGTGGACTGGGTAAGGTGTGCCCACGATACGCCAGGCCACAGAACAAGGCCAGCTTCTGACATGAGACCTCTGCCCCCATGCTGGAAATCTCCAGAGTCAGCCCCCTGGTAGCTCAGATTGTGTGGGGATACCGAGGATCAGTGAGTGATGATTATGGAGGGTCCATGGCTCTGTTCCGGCAAATAAAGAGCCTGAGAATTCTTAGGCTGCTCCCCTCTTAAAGTCTTGGCAGTCCAGGGGAATTCCCTGACGGTCCAGTGGTTAGGACTCAGCGCTCTCACTGCCGGGGGCCCAGGTTCGATCCCTGGTCGGGGAACAAAGATCCTACAAACCGTGTGGCATGGCCTAAAAATAATAAACAAACAAACAAATAAATAAATAAAAAGACTTGGCAGTCTGTGCTGGCTGCCTCCCTGTTTTTAAAATGAGAGGCCTGAAGTTTCAGTGTGCCTATTAGTATGTAAACCACATTTAAATACGAATTGAACTCTTTAGGTCTCTAATTTGTCCTGCACTTTGGAATCAGTGCAAACCCAAAATGGGTCAAAACACAAGGTGAAAAAAGAGACAATGTGTTGAATTTTTAGGATATATCTCAAGTTGATAATTGAGAAAGTTAGAAACTAGTATTAACCTTAGTAACACTTACTAGAACCAAAGTAATCAGGCTTTGGACATAAGTTGACCAGTAGGAGGTCAAGAAGAAATCTCTTCCTTCTTAGCACTGTCATAACATTTTATTTAGAAGAAAATATGTGTAAAAATTATAAACTCATTAAAAAATTTTGAAAATAACAAAACAGCACCCCTAATCCATCTTTTCTAATATAATCATTGTCGTCTTCAAATGTATTTTTTAGGGCTTTTTAATAGGTTTTTAAAATGTAATCACAGTGTTTGTGCAATACATCCTGCTTCTGTCACTTATTTCATAATTATTTTACACTGTAGCTAAATAGCCCTAAGCATAACTATTAATAGATAAATCAAATTGCATCATGTGCCTGTCACTTACTTAGACATACTCCTATTTTGAACATTTATGTGAATCCCAATTTTTCACAATTATAAATTCTGCTGCAAGGAAAATCCTATTACCTACAGCCTCTTCCATATCTTGAATTATTTCATTAAAATCAACAATTAGATAGGAAGTAATTAGATACTGATATATTTACAGTCTTAAATATATATTACCAAATAATTTTTTCCAGACGAGTTGAATCACTATGCTCTTACCTCCAATATATACAAATAAGAGGCGTTTTGTCTGTGTCTGATGATATGTTTTCATGCCTGAAATACTTATTATGAATTTCAAGAACAACAAATATTGTCTTGGAAGAAGAATGAGACCAGCAGATGGTCCATGGGCCTGAGCAGGTTCTGTCTCTAACACCCACATCCATCTGTGGGGTTTTGTGTTTTCAGGAATCGGGATGGGGATGACAGTTCCTATTTCCTTTGCCGTATTCCCCAGTGCCGATGGGTCCCTACAGAAGAAATTAAAAGTCTGGTTCCGGATTCCAAATGAGTTTCAAAGCGACCCACCAGCTCCCAGCGATGACAGCATTAAGATCCAAGACAGGGAAGGCATCACTGTCTATTCCACGTAAGGAAACTATTCTTTAGGCATACACGGGTAGCACTTGAATCATCTGCAGTGAGCATTTGCATTTTCTTTTTCCAGTTTTGAGATGGAATTGACATATAATATTGCATTAGTTTAAAATACAACATAATGCTTTGATATATGTTTATCTTATGAAATGATTACCACCATTTAGTTAACATCGTTCATTAAACAAAGTTACAGATTTTTTTCCTGAGATGAGAAATTTTTTTTTTTTTTTTACAAATTTATTTGGCTGCATTAGGTCTTCGTTGCTGCACGCAGGCTTTCTGTAGTTGCGACGAGCAGGGGCTACTCTTCATTGCGATGCGCAGGCTTCTCACTGCGGTGGCTTCTCTTGTTGCAGAGCATGGGCTCTAGAGCACAGGCTCAGTAGTTGTGGCGCATGGGCTTAGTTGCTCCCCGACATGTGGGATCTTCCCTGACCAGGGCTCGAACCCGTGTCCCCTGCATTGGCAAGTGGATTCTTAACCACTGCGCTACCAGGGAAATCCCCATGAGAAATGTTAAGATCCACTCTCTTAGTAACTTTCAAATATATGATACAACGTACAATATTGTTAACTGTGGTCACTGCTGTACATTACATCCCCAGAACTAATTTATCTTATAGCTGGATGTTTCTACCTTTTGACCACCTTTAGCTAGATCTCCCACCCTCCACCTCCCCACCCTCCGGCAATCACCAATCTGTTCTCTGTATCTGTGAGTTCAGTTGTTGTTTTCTTTAATTCCACATATGAGTGAGATTATACAGTATTTCCCTTTCTCTGACTTATTTCGTTTAGCATGGTGCTTTCACAGTCCAGCCATGTTGCTGCAAATGGCAAGATTTCCTTCTTTTTATGGCTAAGTGATATTCCATTGTAGGTATGTACCACATCTTCTTTATCCATTCATCTGTCTGTGGACCCTTACGTCATTTCTACACCTTGGCTATGGTAAATAATGCTGCAGTGAACATACGGGTGCTCATACCTCTTCAAGCTAGTGATTTCATTTCCTTCAGATATATGCTCAGAAGTGGAATTGCTAGATCATATGGTAGTTCTATTTTTAATTTTGTGAGGAACTTCCATACTGTTTTGCATAGTGGCTGCACCAATATGCATTCCCGCCAGCAGTGCATAAGGATTCCGTTTTCTCCTCATCCTTGCCAGCACTTGTCACTTCTTGTCTTTTTCATAATAGCCATTCTAACAAGTGTGAGGTGACATCTCATGTGGCTTCGATTTGCATTTCCCTGCTGATTAGTGGTGCTGAGCACCTTTTCACGTACCTCTTGGCCATTTGTATATCTTTTTTGGAAATATGTCTATTCAGATCCTCTGCCCACTTTTTAATCTGATTGTTTGGGTTTTTTTACTCTCGAGTTATATTATTTTTTTATATATTTTGGATATTAACCCATTACATATATACGATTTGCAAATAATTTCTCTCATTTAATATGTTGCCTTTTTATTTTGTGGATGGTTTCCTTTTTCTGTGCAGATGGTTTTTAGCTTTATGTAGTCCCACTTGTTTATTTTTGCTTCTGTTGCCTGTGTTTTCAGAGTCAAATACAAAAAAAATCATTGCCAAGACCGATGTCAGGGAGGTTACCCTCTATGGTTTCTTCTAGGAATTTTACAGTTTCAGGTCTTATGTTCAAGTTTTTCATCCATTTTGAGTTGATTTTTGTGTATGGTGTAAGACAGTAGTCCAGTTTCAATCTTTTGCATGTGGCTATCCAGTTTTCCCAACACCATCTACTGAAGAGACTGTCCTTTCCCTATGGTACATTCTTGGCTGCTTTGTTGTAAATTAGTTGACCATGTATGCCTGGGTTTATTTCTGGACTCTCTGTTCTGTTCCATTGATCTTTGTATCTGTTTTTATGCCAATACCATACTGTTTTGATTATGATAGCTTTGTAATATAGTTTGAAATCAGGAAATGTGATGCCTTCAGCTTTGTTCTTCTTTCTCCAGATTTCTTTGGCTATTCAGGGTCTTTTGTGGTTCCATACAAATTTTAACATTGTTTTTCTATTTCTGTAAAAAATTCCATTGAAATTTTAATAAGGGTTGCATTAAATTTACAGATTGCTTTGGGTAATATGAACATTTGAACAATATTAATTCTTCTAATCCATGAGCATGGAATATCTTTCCATTTATTTGTGTCTTCTCCAGATTTTCCATTAATGTCTTAATAGTTTTCAGTGTAAAGATCTTTCACCTCCTTGGTTAAATTTATTCCTAGGTATTTTGTTCTTCCTGATGCAATTGTAAATGGGATTATTTCTTTTTCTTTTTTTTTTTTTGCTGTACGCAGGCCTCTCATTGTTGTGGCCTGTCCCGTTGTGGAGCACAGGCTCCAGACGCGCAGGCTCAGTGGCCATGGCTCACGGGCCCAGCCACTCCGCGGCATGTGGGATCTTCCCAGACCGCGACACGAACCCGTGTCCCCTGCATCGGCAGGCGGACTCTCAACCACTGCACCACCAGGAAAGCCCGGGATTATTTCTTAATTTCTCTTTCTAAATTCATATTATTGATGAATTAAGAAATACTGAGTACTGACTTTCTTCTTAAATTTCTTCAGCCTACAGCACACAAACATTTGCACTGTATCTAAGTAAACGCCTTTGCCAGTTGCCAAACTGATTTGGATATAGAGAATATCCCCTCAGCTTAAGCTGAACATCTACATTAGCCACAGCAGGGTTCTGGGAGATTCAGAGAATATCTAAGTCAGTCTGTAGTTTGGGGTCATGAATATCTGGGGAGCATAAAGGGCTAGAGATACTTCGTTTTTAACCCACACTCCCCTTGAATGCCAGAAGGGCAGGGAGCATTTGCCAGAGCCGGACTGCTACTGCCTTAGTTATTCATGGTCTGTGGGCCTTTCAGCAGAGCACATGTGCCTCCTATTATTCTAGTCCTGTTTCCAGGGCTTTACTTGGGGTCCGGTTTCCTTGACTTTAGAGAAAAGCAAGTGCAAGTGGTTGCATGATTTTATTCTTTGGGCCTCAACCTCCCTTCAGAAGCCAGGTCTCTTCTAGATAATCAGTGACTCCCCAGTTGTTAAAATCCTCCTGTGTGACAGGAGCCTCCACCTCTTCTGCTCCAGCCCTCATTCAGACTTTCCAGCCTTCACTGCAGAGGCTGCAGAGAAAGCAAACTCTATTTAAAGAACACCTAGACTATCTTTTCCCAGGGCTGGGACTAGGGTGAGGAAGCAGGTGCACCTGTTGTGCAAAATTTAAGGAGACACTCAGTCTCACAGTTGTCCAAGTGTATGTAGGGTTGGCCCTGAGAGTGAGTACCTCCTTAAATCTTGAGCCCCAGGCATCTCAGCTGTCTCATCCTAGTTCCCACTCTGTCCTCTCCTAGTTCCCACTCTATCCTCTCCATCCTCTTTCCTGCGTCTTGGGAGGCAGCCTGGTGTAATATGATGAACAAGTATATTTTAGTTTGAATCCTGGATGATGCTTGGGAAGTTACTCAGCCTCTATAAGACTTGGTTTTCCCATCTTGTAAGTGCTGATAATATAATCTACCTCATAGTATTATTGTTAGAGACTATCTTTCAGTATTTACTGAGATGCTATTTATAAACTGCTTAATGTTTATGACCTGTAGTAGGTTTCAGTAATTCTTTCTCTTTGCCCCTTCTTATTTCATAAGAAATGAGGTTGACATGATTAAATCAGGTCACATAAGACTTCAAGCAGAACGGACTAGTTTCTAATCATTTCTCTTTCCAAACCCAGGATAATAACTTGGTCCCATTTTTTTCTTTTGCCTTTAACTTTTTAGTAGGGAAATCTTCAAACTTACAGAAAGACAGAATAAGAAAATGAAACCCTATGTACCATCATTCATCTTAAATGATAATTACCTCAAGGCCAATTTTGTGTCATGTGTATCCTCACAACTTCAACCTGGTCCCGACCCTAACTTATTTTTAGGCAAATTCCAGGCATTATATTATTTCATTCATAAATATTTTATTGTGACTACTGAAGACTTTTTAAAAATAGAAAAACAATATCTTATTATTCCTAAAATTTTAACAATTCATTACTGTTATAATAATTTTAAATATCCAGTGTTCAGTTTTCTCCTACTAGCTCATAATTTGTTCCTACAGTTTGTTTGAATCTGGCTCCAAATAAGATGCGTCCATTGCAATGGGTTGGTACATCTTTGAAGCTTTTATTTATCTGTTGATTTTCTCACCACCACACGTTTTCATTTTTCCTTGCCGTTTATGGATCATTTATCCTAGTGTTTCCCACAGTCTGAATTTTGCTGGTTTCCTTCCTGTGGCATTTTAACATGTTTCTCTGTCCCTGTACTGCCTGAAATTAGTAGTCAGAACTAGAGGCATAATCAGATTCAAGTTTGAGTTCGGGGCAAGGATATTTCAAAGATGGTGTTGTGTATCTCCATCAGGGGCTCATGCTTGCCTCTGGTTTTGTGATATTAGTGACCTTAGATCACCATTTCCCAGATGCCATGTTTCCTTAGAGGTTGTCAAATGATACTATTCTCTGTTTTTCCTTCTTCATTTATTAGCCGGAGTACTTTGGTAAAGAGAAACTTCCCTTCATCTACTATTTGGTTTCCCTGAGATAGAGTTGTAGAAAAAAGGCCAGATACCTTCTCTTTATCAGTTTTCAGAATAATGATTTCATTTCTTAACATCCTCCAAAGGGGAGGCAGTGTTGATCTCTGGTGTTTGAGTACCGATATAAACATATGAATTCAAACATAATTGATGTGTTTCAGTTCTTTGCAGTTATTATTCTCACTGATGATCAAACTGTCCCATCTTTGGCCAGTGGGAACCTCTTCAAGTTGCTTTCTTGGTCCTTTTGACATGACCCTGGTAATCTTCAGTAACTTCCTTGGTTTCTGGTAGGACAGGATATTTCAAGCGCATCCTGACATTTCTTGCTCTAGAGCTGGAATTAGCCATTTCTCCAAGGAACCCTGGTTCCTTATGGTGGGAAAGGGAATCTCTTTAAAAGCTACTAGTCAAGCCAGGTCTGTCGAAGTTTCCTTTACTGCAACCTAAACAGAGAGGAGAGTGACAAAGACGGCATCTAGCATGGCTCAATGAATTTTTTTTAACCTGTTAGCATCTGATCCTAAGTTAGCATCTGTTCATTCCTCAACTAGCCACTAGGTGTCACTGCACAGTCAAGTGTGCATTTAAAAGTACCTTTTTGTGGAAGGCAGAGTTGATGACATAATAGAAGGCACAAATACTGTTTCAAATACACAGTGCATCCTTAACTCAGTCTTCCTTTTTTATGACCTTGTGAAGGGATGTCCATTGACTAGTAGTATGTATTACCAATACTGTTTAAATGAATAGAAGGCTATGAAAAATTAACGTGATCAGAGTTTTTTCAGTATTCACAAGAGGCAACAGAGTTGTCCTCACGCTTCGATGAGTGGCCTCATTCCAGACTACTGTCCTCCCTCTGTGCTCTATAAAGGCCACTTAGGTTAGAGCTCAGCCTCCTCAATGCAGTTCAACAGAGACCAACAGCAGGAGAGGTTCGATGGTGTTAACAAGACTTTCATGATCTTAATGAAATGTCTGGGTATAAAGGAAAGAGTTGGAAACAAGGAGCTCGTTGTCGGGGTGACCTGTGCTCCAAGGTCAGGTCTACCGCTTAATGGCCAGAGGACCTTTGGCATCTCACCGAGCCTCTGTGTGACTCAGTGTCCTTATCCGTGAGATGGGGGTAAGAGTAGCGGCTGGGCCCGTGAGCCATGGCCGCTAAGCCTGCGCGTCCGGAGCCTGTGCTCCGCAACGGGAGAGGCCGCAGCGGTGAGAGGCCCGCATACCGCAAAAAAAAAACCCCAAAACAAAAAAGTTGGTAAATAAGGGAATGAATTCCCTGGCGAGCCAGTGATTGGGACTCTGCGCTTTCACTGCCGAGGGCGCAGGTTCAATCCCTCGTCTGGGAACTAAGATTCCACAAGCCACGCGGCCAAAAAAAGTAAAACTAAAATAAAACAAAACAAAAAGGGGGATTTGAGGGCTCTTTAAAAAAATTTTTTTAATTAAAAACAGAAAAGTTGGTGAATAAGTAAATGAATGAAAGTCTTGGACCTTGCCTCCTGCTCTCCTCCCTCAAGATCTCGGCCCCTCTCGATAGCTTCAGCTGCAGCTGCCACCCTTCCATCAGTAACTCTCCTGCCTGACCTCCATCCAGCTCCCTTAAACGTCTTACCATTCCTCAGACTCACTGTGAAGACAAAGGCGAGGCCACTTACGCATTCATTCATTCATTCATTCATTCAAAAAAAATCACATCTTCATCATTCACTTACTCTGTGCCAGGAAGCGTTTTAGGTGCTGGAAATATAGCAGGGAACGAGCAAAGCGTCTGCCCCTTGAGGTGGGAGAAACATTATAGTGCAGAAAACAGACAAAAAGCAAATGCCTCGAGATATTTCAGGACAGCGTCGTTCCAGAGATAAGAAGTGGTATCTGAACTGAAATTATAGGGAAGCCTATTTCTACTCAAAAATAAATACGTTCCCTGGTGGCGCAGTGGTTGAGAATCTGCCTGCTAATGCAGGGGACACAGGTTCGAGCCCTGGTCTGGGAGGATCCCAGATGCCGCGGAGCAACTAGGCCCGTGAGCCACAACTACTGAGCCGGCGCGTCTGGAGCCTGTGCTCCGCAACAAGAGAGGCCGCGATAGTGAGAGGCCCGCGCACCGTGATGAAGAGTGGCCCCCGCTTGCCACAACTAGAGAAAGCCCTCGCACAGAAACGAAGACCCAACACAGCAAAAATTAATTAATAAACTCCTACCCCCAACATCTAAAAAAAAATTAAAATAAGTAAATAAATAAATAAATAAATACATTCGGGACTTCCCTGGCAGTCCAGTGGTTAAGACTCCACACTTCCCATGCAGGGGGCTCAGGTTTGATCCCTGGTCGGGGAACTAAGATCCCACATGCCATGCGGCACAACCAAAACAAAAAGTAGAATAAAATAAATAAATAAATACATGTATACATACCTTCTGGCGTAATCTGTCTCAGAGTAAAATGGACAGATGATGAGGCGCTGAAGCCCTAGCCCTGGAGGAATTCAGATACCATCTGAACGGATGTGCGACAATTATGCACGCAACGTTTGTCCCAAGTGGCAAGTTTGGCTGCATTTGACAAACGTTTATCGCGTACCTCTGCTATTTAAGCCCCTTCCCCTCTGAGCGCCCCGCCAGCGATAAGATTCTGTAACTAAAACCTAATCCATCACCGCTCACTCCCCCCACAGCTGCTCAGTTGTCCCTTTAGTCTAGTACTTGGAAGGGGCTTCAGTCACTGTTTCCAGGTGGGTGAACCCAGATCAACACGGTAGTGCTGCTGCCTTTTATCACAAGCTCCCTGGGCAGCATCGCCGTGTAAACCTCCTCGGGCGGCTCCCAAATCAGCATGTCCGAATGGAACTCACATTCCTTCCCACATCTGACCCCCAGTGTTCTGTCTTCCCAGAGGCCCCTCCATCCTACGCATCCCGTTCACATCCATCCTGACTCCTTCATCTTCATCTTCATCTTCAGCGTCAGTGTTGGCCGAGTCCCGGTCACCTCCTGGCTGTGCCTTCCCCTCGATCCGCATGGCCACGGCCCTCATCACCTCTTGCCCGAACCGTTGCCGAGGCCTCCTTAGCGTTTCTCGTCCCTCCAGCTCTGCCTCTGCTGAGAGGTCGTTTTGTCTCCGCCAGCCCTAAAGCACAGGACCGATCGCACTACTGCCCCCTGCTGTTGGGCTCTGCCCGAGGCACATCCGAGGTTTGGGACCAAGGCCAAGCTAGTAATAAAATACGAAGGGGGATGGGTGGACTTTGGGTTGGGTCCCCAAATGTTTGGCCAGGCAGTGAAGCCTAGTAAAATGCCTTGTTGTGGCGTGTACTGTCCTCCACAACACAGCCCCACTCCAGGGGTCCGCCTAGCCTCAGAGCATCCCACCCACACCTCCCAAGCCCCGCCTCAAACACACACACATACAATATCCACTCCCAGACCTTCACTCACTCGCCCAGCTCCTCTCAGCCCTTCCCCAACCTCTGCTCATTGCAAGCTCTGTGAGGGCAGGAATTTTTGTCATGTTGTTCATTGCCGCCATCAGAAGAGACGCTCAAGAGATAGATAGCAGCTTGATATCACGTCCGTAGCATCCTCCCCTTCATGTTCTAAGTCAGAACCAATCCGTCCCTGCCCCCAGAGCGTTCTGTGTGTACCTCCGTTCTGGTGTTTTCTCCTGCCCTGCCTAATCTTTATGTGTGTCTCTGTCCTGGCCACTACAGTGAGACCTCGCCTGGGTAGAAAGTTCCCCGTCGTCTTTATGGCTCTGTGCTCTCGAGAGCGTGTGCTTCCCGCTTGAGCGATGCTCACCTCGATAAGCCTGGTTCAATCTGACTGAATGAAATGCCACACGGTGTTAAGCTTCTTTCCTGTTGATGTGGAATTATCAGCTCTTCGGCTTACGCTTCTCCTGCTTAGCACAGGGCTGTGTGCGTGGCAGACTCTCCACAGATCCGTGCTGACCTGTTGACTGTGAAAGTTCTAGGCCACGTCGGACGGTCAGGCTCAGAGTCATTCCATCTCTCCTCTACCTCGCTGCCTGCCTGCTCCAAGCACTCCCTGAAAGATAACACGTTCTGATTTTTCGGACCTGGGACCAAAGTCTCCGTCTGTTAACCCGCCTCAATGACACCTGCATCATCCCCCCCACACCCCAACTCTTCCAGACCTGTTTAGACAGTTCCTTTTTTTTTTCATCTTTATTGGAGTATAATTGCTTTACAATGGTGTGTTAGTTTCTGCTTTATAACAAAGTGAATCAGTTATACATACACATATGTTCCCATATCTCCTTCCTCTTGCGTCTCCCTCCCACCCTCCCTATCCCACACCTCTAGGTGGTCACAAAGCACCGAGCTGATCTCCCTGTGCTATGCGGCTGCTTCCCACTAGCTATCTATTTTACGTTTGGTAGTGTATATATGTCCATGCCACTCTCTCACTTTGTCCCAGCTTACCCTTCCCCCTACCCATATCCTCAAGTCCATTCTCTAGTAGGTCTGTGTCTTTATTCCTGTCTTACCCCTAGGTTCTTCATGACATAGACAGTTCCTTTTGTATTTCTGGAATCCAGGGCATGTGTGTCCTTCCTTGGTTCCCATGGTAACCAAATTCTTGGGAATACTGAGCTCTGACTACAGAGCCCTGGTGGTGAGCGGCTTTGAAGAGGGAGACTTGGACACTGATTAACAGGCTCGCAGAAATGATGTATAGACTTCCTGTTTCTTTCCTTTGAGAAGCTCAGAGCGCTTTACAAGCATTCCTTAACTCACACTCAGATGTGCCCGTGGACTTGGAGAGCTGGGGGTACAGCGTGGTTATCCTCCGAGTGCTGCGTGGAAGCTGAGCCCTGGGGAACGAGGCAGCCGGAGCCGGGCCTCTTTCACATCTTAGGGCTCTGCGCCTGGGAGGGTTTGGCTTTCTGGCTTGTTTGTGCGGTTCTGTGATGGGGGTTCGGGTCAGCTGGTTAGACTGGCAGCGGGGAGCACACGCGGATCTGTTCCGCAGCTCATCCAGCTTTGCTCGTTTCCCAGTAGAATGCTTCCTTGATGAAGCAATAGGGAAATTTTCATCCTCGTTATAAGCATCTTAGTCAGCCTGGGAAAAAATAGAAAAAGTCAAGGGTTTTTTTTTCTTTTTTCTGGTAATGGATTTAAGAATCCCTGAACGATGACGTTCTCCGCATCACTCTCTGCCGGGTCTCCTTGGACTCAGGTGGGTCCTTCTCAGCGGCCTTTGCTGAGTCTTCATCCTCCTCCCAGCAGCGGGGGACTAGGATCTCTGAGAACAGCCTGCTGACTTTCTGTACGCTTACCACCTGGGCCCCATCGCCCTCTTCGCTCTGACCAGAGCCAGCACCTACTCACAGGTGACGCCCAAGTTTCTGTCGCTAGACCCGTCTCTTTCCCCGGTCGTATCTCTGACTCCAGTTCCTGCCCAAGTCTAGGGAGATTTCACAGTGCCCAGCACACACTTAGGGGCTCGATAATTGTTGCACGAATTCGTTTCATCGAGGCACCTTCACAGCAATATGCCCCAAACCAGATGAAAAACCCACCCGCCCCGATTCCCTCTTCTGGTTGGTGGTGTCGGTTTCCACTCAGAGACTTAACTGGAAGCCCTGGAGAATCCTTGACTCCCTCCACTCCACCCCCGCCCTAGCCTCTCCCCGCCCCACGCTCACCTCCCACATTTGCCTTTGTCCAGGCCTTCGTCATCTCTCTGTCAGCTGTTCCTGGCCTCCCGTGACTCCCTTCCCCTCATCCCTCCATGCCCCCACCCCAGAGGGGTCTCTCCAAAATACAGTCCGATCACGGCAGTCCCTTAACTTTAAAACCCCTTCCCGAGTCCATCTTTGCATCTAAGGTCAGGCTCAGAGTCCTTAGCGTGCCCTTCAAGGCCCTTTCCAACACGGCCCCAGTCCATCCACTTTGTTTGAATCCCCACCACTGTGCCCTTAGTAGGTGCTTCAGATTTTATTCTATGAGTGAGTGAAGATGGAGGCCAACAGACTTTGCCCTCATCTGTAGGCCTATCAACCTGAAGACAGAGACTTCCATCATTTCTCCCAGACGGTTCATTTAGCCAAGAGGTCTAATATGTGTGTTAGGTGCTCAGAATACACCAGTGGCCAAAGAGTGACAAAGATCCCTGCCCTCGTGGGGCCTGTATTCTACCAGGGGCCTCAGACCATAAACAATGAATAACTTTTATATAGTATGTTAGAAGGTAAGAAGTTCTGAAGAAAGAAAAGGATAGGAAAGGACGGAGGGAGGAAAGAAGGAAGGGAGGGAGGGAGGAAAGAAAGAAGGGAGGGAGGGAGGAAGGGAGGAAAGAAGGAAGAAAGGGAGGGAGGGAGGAAAGAAGGAAGGAAGGGAGGAAAGGAGGGAGGGAGGAAAGAAAGAAGGGAGGGGAAAGGAGGAATGGGGAAGGGGAGTGGGGTTACAAGATTGAAAGCATTTTTAGAGAAAATGAGAAGATGAGGTTGTTAATTGAGCCAGTTCTTCATCATTAAGCTCTCTTGCTAGTTACTTTACATCACCATTATGTCTCTCACCTCGGGCATCAGGGAACTGGAGACTGTTCTGAGCAAATTGCAAAGTAACAACAATAGCTACTGTTTGCTGTGCGTTTCCCACGTGATGGGCAGGAGGCTGAGTAAGGAGTTTGCGTCGTTTTCTCTTTTTTGATCTTTACAACAGCCTTCTGAAATTGATGCCCTCATTCCTACTGAACAGATGAAGGACCTGAAGGTTAGAGAAATGCAAGCATTTGCCCAAGACCATGAGCTAGACGGTGGCAGAGGTAGGATGTGAGCACACAACTAGCCATTTTGCCTCTCAACTGATGAATGAAGGTATTTGAGGACCACTCCTTTAGATGTTTGTAGAAACCAGTAGTTTAAAGAGCCAACATCATCGATTTACACAGAAAACAGCTTAGTATCACAGCGTGAGAGGGGACTGCAGAGGCATTTAACACCTGATCACCCCACCCCCATCCAGCATCTGATTCGTTTCAGACCCGCGGTCCTCAATCTATAGACATTCTTCAAAAATAAGCCCAGTGTCTTACAGGCTTTTATTGTCAGAACAATCCTTCCTTAATATTCATCCTCTGCCTCCTAATCCAGTTTTATCTCATTTGAGCCTCAATGAAGCTAGAACTCACCTTTCTCCATCTGCCTTATAATCTTTCTTCAGTAGACTTGAAGGACCAAGCCTCCTGTCTCCCAAATTGGTCTCAGCCCTGTCCATGTGCTGTAGCTATTGTCTAGACATTAGAACAACCAACTCCTTAGAAATCCTGGGTATTTTCAAAGCAGTAACCCTGTAATCAATGTGCTGAATGCTTAGCGAGTTATAAAAGAGCAAAGCGTGAGTCAGAGAACCCCACCCAAAATAATGCATTTGGCCAATCTTGGCTGGGTACAGATTCAGACCTTTGAGTCATCAAGCTCGTTAGAAATGGGGATGTGTTTGACACTAGTAAAGATTGTAATGCAGCCCCAGATTTAGAGTGGTGTATTTAGGGTAGGTCACAGGACGAATTTTGGAGCGAAGGCAGGTGACGTAAGGAGAGAATAACGGTCGTGAAAAGACAAACTTTATTGCTTCTCTATCTCCACCTTCTGCCATCAAGAGAAAAGCCTGATTTGGAAAAATCATCTTTACTTACTAGAAAAAGAAGGCTTTCCTGATTTGAGCAGAAGGGATCTATTAGAAGTGATTTCTCTTTTGCGGTACGCGGGCCTCTCACTGCTGTGGTCTCTCCCATTGCGGAGCACAGGCTTCAGACGCACAGGCTCAGCGGCCACGGCTCACGGGCCCAGCCGCTCCGCGGCATGCGGGATCTTCCCGGACCCGTGTCCCCTGCATCGGCAGGCGGACTCTCAACCACTGCGCCACCAGGGAAGCCCTGAAGTGATTTCCTTATTTGGGGCAGGCATGCTTAAAGCTTGCCTAGGGGCCCTGCCTTTGGTAGCTCTGTTTTCTTTTGTTTGTTTGTTTGTTTTTTAACATCTTTATTGGAGTATAATTGCTTTACAATGGTGTGTTAGTTTCTGCTGTATAACAAAGTGAATCACCTGTACGTATACATATATCCCCATATCTCCTCCCTCTTGAGTCTCCCTCCCACCCTCCCTACCCCACCCCTCTAGGTGGTCACAAGGTAGCTCTGTTTTTTAACAAAGCTGCTACTTGTCCTTAGAACTGCTCTGCAGTGGGAGAAACATGAGCTCCAGCTCCACCCTAACTCCCTCGGTTCTCCTCCCCGCCAGCTGGCGACAGAGAGGCAGGGAAGAGAGGCGACTGGGGCAGCAGAGGAAGCTAGAGAAAAGGGTAAAGACATGGCTTTGGGAAAAGTCAGCCTCCCATCTGTTCAGGAAATTTCAGAAAGGGAAGGGAAGCTCGCCTATTGTACCAACTACAGTACTGGTTCCAGACTGGTTCCAGGACCCTCACAGATACCAAAATCCAAGGATGCCGGAGTCCCTTATCTAAAGTGGTGTCGTATTCGCATATAATCTACATACGTCCTTCCACCTACTTTGAATCATCTCTAGATGACTTATAATACCTATTACTGTAAATGCTACGTAAATAGTTGATGGCACGTGGCAAATTTAAAGTTTGGCTTTTTGGAACTTTCTGGAACGTTTTTTTTTTCCCCCAAATATTTTCAATCTGCAGTTGGTTGAATCTGCGGGTACAGAACCCCCCGATGCAGAGGGCCGAATGTAGTGTGGTTCAGGCCCTGCGTTAGAGTTTTTTACATCCGTGATTGTAGTTAATGCTCATAACCTATTGGAAGAAAAAGGAAACATATCCCTGTTTTACAAACGAGGCTCCCGCTCGGTGAGATTCGTTCCACCCCTGTAGGAAGGGGCAGATCTGAAGTCTTAACAACTAAAGCATGCTTGTCGTAATAAGAGTAGTGAGTGACTCTTTTGACGTCCCCCCCTCTCTCTGAGACCCTGTCCTTTCTGAACCAGTGACTTGCTTTGTGTCCTCAGGCAGTTTGGCGGTTATGCCAAGGCAACTGACTACGTAGCTCATGCCGCCGAGCTGCGCACCACCCTGGAGGGTACAGCCACCTGCCGGAGTGACTTCTACTTCTGCACTGGGTATGACCCTCCCATGAAGCCCTACGGACGTCGCAACGAGGTCTGGCTGGTGAAGAGCAATGAATAATTGGCTGAACTAGAGCTCCCTGGATGCTTGCGTCTGTGCCCACTTCCTCCAGGAGGAAATGAAGCTCCCTGTGCAGCTCCAGTAGGGCCGACTTTCCTTCAGAGCCAATCAGTCACTGCCAATTTCCTGAAATAAGCACGTTCCAGATCCTGAGGCTCTTGTTCTCGTGGAGGGAAATAAGGCACCCACGATACATATGCGTCCTTCTAAATGACTTAGAAAATTCCGTGGGAGACCAGAAAAACCCAGCAGCATTTTCCCAGCTCTCTGGATCCCTAAAAACTGATTTTTAAAAATTATGGAAACCGTATTTTTGTTATTGAGGAAGAAGTGTGATTTACGTGTGATCTTTCATCTCTGATTCTTATAAGAGCTTTCTTTAAAAAGAAACTGGAAATAAAGATCTTTGACTTAAACAGCTGAGACGAATCCTAAGTGTAGTTATTTTCCAAGATTCCACAGGTGTATAGATACTACTGATGGTGTTTACTGTCGCAGGAATCCTGTGTTTACAGTTCCAAAGTCCTTCAGAATAGAAGCCCAAAGATCCCAGGGAAGGAGGACACGCACCACATGCTAAACCACAGACACTTACCGTGACTGTGTCACAGCGATTCCATGCTCTGAAGTTGAGGAAACTGTTTGCAGCTGTGGGCCACAAAGGGTTCCAGGGACCACAAAGATAGACCAAGAAGAAAACTCACTACCCCAGATGCATAACCGTGGAGACGGGAAGACCTGCCCAGAAGGTTTATGCAGGATGATGAGATGAGGTCAGAAAAGCTGGGGTCCAGTTTCATTAACTGAAGAGGATAGAAGTGAAAGAATCAATGTGCATCTTGGCCAGAAGAGAAGGAAAGGGGACTCGAGGCTGTGAGGGGCGGTGGGGAAGGTAGCTAAGCTGGAACCAAGTGCCTGGGGGAGCCAGTAAGGATGAGAGCCAGTGGGTCACGGCACTGGGAGGGCGTGCCATCCTCCCAGGGTGCACAGGGCCAGCCCTGTCAACAGCTCTCCATGGGGTTTGCTAAAGAGGAATGAGAGCTATGTCTTCACCTTTCCTGGCCGCCTTTCAAAACAGTGGTCTCTTCTAGGGGATGGGCTTCCCCCTTTCTGAAGATCATTGGGAAATCACAGTGGCTACCGGCCTTGACTGCTGTCAGAGGCCATGCTGGGTGCCTTCCATGCACACTTTATGAGGGAGGTGCTGTCATGACCCCCATGCACATGAGGAGCTGAGAGTCCCAACATTTGTAATGTTTGGACTTACTCATTTCCTTTTTTTTCATCTCTCACACTTGATAATATGTTTGATAGGAAAGAGGTCCGCACCTGCTTTGTTCTCCATTATATCCCCAGCACTCAGTTCAGGGTCATCCATCGTTTAAGAATGAATTAAGCTGTAAGTAACAGAAAACTAAACCAGCAGTAGCTTAAGCTAATAAAATTCTATTTTCTCATGGAGCAGGACATCTAGAGATAGGTCAGTGGCTCAGTGCTTACGTCTCTGTACTCGCCTTGCTCTTTCCCTCATGATTACAAGATGGCTGCAAGCTCCTGCCATCTCATCCATGTTCCGGGTTGGAAAAGGGGAGCGAAGGAAAGGCTGTATTAGCTGCATCTGTCCCATTTTATGAGGAAACAAAAGCTTTCCCAGAAGTTGCCCTAGCAGATTTCCACCTACATCTAATGGACCAGAACTGACACTTGGAGCCACCCATACCTGCCACGGAGATGGGGAAAGTGTGTGTGTTTGGCTTTCCAGCCTCTATGGTGGGGAGCAGCAGAGGAGAATGATTTTCAGAATGGCTTTGGGGTAGCTAATCTCCAGGGTTTTCTGCAAAGGGATGATGACTAGGTGTGTACATCTGGAATCAAGAGTTAGGGAAGGTGAGAAGTGAGAGACAGCTGGAGAGATGGGTTGAAGCCAGGTTGCAGAGGATCTTAAAGGTTTTAATTCTGCATTTTCACTTCTGAGCCCATGCAAATGGCTCGGGAGCACTTTGCTGCCTCTCTTCCAGTGTCTCCTGCTCCTTCGCTCTCGTCTATCCCTAAAAACCCCAAACAGTGGAGCATCATCGGGTGGAAAAGGGAGGGCTTTCAGGCTCCTGCCCCACAGTGAGGACACAGGTGACTGACGGGATGGCATCAAACAGTGAATTAAGAAAAGAGAGAGACAAGAGCCAAGGAAATAAGTTGTTTATCCTCATTCTGGATTAAATAATGAAAAATAGAACAACAGAGACCAGGGTTGCTAGATGCCAATCTATGGACTAACGAAGCAATCTATTTTTTTTTTAAAGATTTTTTTTTTGATGTGGACCATTTTCAAAGTCTTTTTATGAATTTGTTACAATACTGCTTCTGTTTTATGCTTTGGTGTTTTGGCCCCAAGGTATGTGGGATCTTAGCTCCCTGACAAGGGATTGAACCCACACCCCCTGCATTGGAAGGCAAAGTCTTCAACCACTGAACCGCCAGGGAAGTCCCTAAAGCAATCTTTTTTCCCAACTCCAACCCACTTTCTTGTCTGTATCTTTCCTAAAATAGAGGTCAATGAAAAGACCCTCTGGCCCCATCCCTCTCCTCCTCTCCCTAGAGGAGTAGAACTTATGGCCGGTATTTTAGATTGTTGTATAATTAAGTTTGAAAACAGTAAACAGTAGAGATATTAGCAAATATTCAAACTGTGCTCTAGGTGTAATGCTCGGAATCACAGCCTCAAGGCGGCAGCCTCCCTGGAGCTGCACGTATAAGGATGCTCTGCCTTCCACCACAGGCCATCTTCCTGTGCCATTAGTATTCTTGTATGCAACTCATTGTGTACGTGTATACAATGGAATACTACTCAGCCGTAAAAAAGAACGAAATAATGCCATTTGCAGCAACATGGATGCGACTAGAGATTATCATACTAAGTGAAGTCAGTCAGAAAGAGAAAGGCAAATGTCATATGATATCACTTATACGTGGAATCTAAAATATGACACAAATGAACCTTTCTACAAAACGGAAACAGAATCACTGACATGGAGAACAGACTGGTGGTTGCCAAGGGGGATGGGGTTTGGGGGAGGAATGGAGTGGGAGGCTGGAGTTAGCAGATGTAAGCGATTATATATAGGATGGATAAACAACAAGGTCCTACTGTATAGCACAGGGAACTATATTCAATATCCTATGATAAACTATAATGGAAAAGAATATTAAAAAAAGAATACATATATGTATAACTGAATCACTTTGCTGTACAGCAGAAATTAACACAACACTGTAAATCAACTATACTTCAATTTTTAAAATGTTGATAAAATTAAAAAATTTTTTTAAATGTCCCTTGTATGTTCTGTGAGCACCACCTCATAAATTTTGTCCTGCATGTACCACAACACAATTCTACACTTTCCTGCTTACATGAGCGCTTACAGGCCGTCAGGTGATTGTGTATAAACACC